AAATTCGGTTAATTTATTCTTAAATTCCGACCTATTTTTAAGAAGGAATCTCTTAAGAAGTTAGCTTTCCTTACTAAGAGGGTAGGATCTAAGGACCCTCTTTTAGTAGCCTAAAGAGATAGTCTTCTTTAGTATATATAACTTAGTTACCTAGGCCCCCTAGCTTTATATAAGCTAGGCTAATAAGAGGGCGTATAAATAAGGGGCTTAAAGACTATCGAATATAAATACTATAGCTAAGGAAAGACTAAGAAATAAATTTCTAGACGGACCCTTTTATAGCTAGACTAGCTATATAAGGAAATTTAGGTTAACTAAACTAATATCTCTAGGGACTAAGAAAGCTTTATTAAGGTAATATTTTTTATATATGCTTTTTTAAGGATAGTTTTCCTTTATTTCTTATAGACCTACTTAAGTAAGTATAACTAGTTTACCTTTTAGGACTTTATTAATTAAATAAAATCCTACTTTAGCTATAAGGTAAAGAAAATACGGTCTAATAAAGAGCTATTTATAAAGGATATCTTAAATTAGCTTTAAAAAAGAGGTATTTTACTACTCTTATTAGCACTAAATACCTAGGCCTAGAATAAAAGGGTAGAAAGATTAAGGGGTGCTATAATAAAAAGGGCCTATATAATAAGACTTATTATAAGGCTTCTATATAATCTTTAAAGGGAAGTTATTAAGTCCGCCTATTACTTTTAGAATCGGACCCTTAGGGACCCTAAGGACCCTAGTAAACTAAACTAAGGAATAAACTAGAAATCCCCTTTTAAGCTCTTTATAAAAAAGAGGGCCTCGCTAGCTTACTTTTATACCTATAGTTATAAGGTATATACTATAAATACTAATATATAGCTAAAAAGGAAAAAGAAAAGAAAGCTTAATCCTAGAGCCTTTATTAATTAACTTATTAGCTATAATTTAATAAATATCTTTTAGATCTAGATTCCGTTTTTATAAAAGGTTATTTTAACTAAGGATATAATTTTTAACGAATCTAGCTTCTTTAGTAGAAAGAGGGATTAATCGCCCCTCTTACTCTTATAACGTTAGCTAATTTAAAAGATCTAAATCCCCCTTTCTTAATAGTCTTAAAAAGAGGTCCTAAATAAGGAAATAGAAGAAGAAACTAACGTTAAAGTAGTTAAGGATAATGCTAACTTTAAAGAAAAGGAAGCTATTAGATTAGATAATCTAAATAAAGAAGGAAACTATAGGAAAGTAATAGAGCTAGAATACGCCTACCTCCTTATACCTCCTCTTATATAAGAAGAAGATCTAAAAGTAGTTCTTTAGTTAGTCTTCCTATCTCGACCCCTAAGAGGGTAGGAAAGGTATTACTCTTAAAGGATTACCTAGCTGCTTTTTTATCCCTACTTCGATAAGTAAAGGAAGGTATAGGGCCCGATATAAAAGAAGACTAATTTCTCTTTTATTTCGATCGTTTTTCCGACTTTAATCTAATACCTATAAAAGACGGTTCCTATAAAGTATTTATAGTAAGCTAGTATTTTAAGCTTCTATTAGTAAGGGAGGTATATAAAAGAGATCTCCTAGACCTACTAGTAAACTAAAAGTAGCTAGAAAAACACCCCTTTTATAGACTAGTTTTTCTAGGCCTAGAAAAGCTACCTAGCTTTATATAAAGAGATAAGGCCTTTTAAAAAGGTCCTTAAGGAAAAGGTAAGAGGAAAATAAGTCCTTAGCTATAAGTAGGTCTTTATCTATAAGACTAATAAATATAGCTTCCTTTAAAAGTATAAAGCCTAGCTAGGTATCTATAGGAATTAATAGGAAAAGGGGGGTCTCCTTACTAAGGTAACTACCTTAGTAAGGATATCTTTTTAAACCCTTATAGCTATAGTAGTAGAATTCGACCTCTAACTTAATTAAATAGATACCGTTAACGCCTTTATTTACTACCTTTTTAAGGAAGAAGAAGTTATCTATTATTACGGGCTACGCCCGTAGAAGGCTGAGGCTATACTATAGCGACCGCACCGAAGTCGGGCCGAAGTAGACCTACGCACGGACAGAGCTCGACCCGAACTTAGGCCGAACAGCACCCGAACACGGGTCGAGCTAGGGACCAGGGAAGACAGACAACCGTCGCGACTAGGATAGAGTTTTTCTCCTTTCTCCTTAGCTTTAGATAAATAATTATTCGGCCCCGTACTACTATAATAAGTATACGCCGGCCCCTAACATCTATATACGCCTTTTACTAAGCTCTTAATAGCTAGGAAAGGTTCTATAGCTTAGGAAAGCTTTATATAAACTACGGAGATTACCTATTCTTTAGTAATAGTATTTAATAGGTTCTTTTAAAGCCCTAGGCTTTAAGAAAGTCCCCTAGGAACTATATATAATATAGGAGGGTAAAATTATAGTCTTCTTCTACGTCGATAATATTATTTAGGCCTACTTAAAAGAGAAAGAAGTAACTACTAGGGAGGCTATAAAAGGCCTATAATAAAGGTATAAGATAACTAGGCTAGGGGAGCTAAAGTAGTTTCTAGGGATACGAATCCTTTAAAATAGGTCCTAACGGACTATCTAGCTTACTTAGGACGCCTATATTAATAAGGTCGCTTATAAATTCCTCCTTAATCCCCTTAAAAAGAAGCTTCCTTCTATATTAATATTAAATTAAGAGCTTTTACTTAATCTATCCTTTTAAGCTAGGGAGTAAGAGAAATACCGATATTAATAAAAGGTAGGCTCCTTACTTTTTTTTAGCTATTTCTACTAGACCGGATATCTCTTTTATAGTCTCCTAGCTAGCTAAGTATAAATAGAATCCTAGCCTTAGGTACTAAAAAGTAATAGATAGAGCTATCTTTTATTTCTATTTAATAAGATTATATAGTCTATGCCTAGGAGGGTAAGGAAGGAAAATAGCTACTAAAATCTTCTTTTATTTAAGCGATTTATCCTTTATAAATAATTCCTTAGATAGGAAGAGCTTATAAGGGTATATTATATCCCTTTTTAGAGGAACTATTACTTAAAGAGCTTTAAAGTAAGCTATCGTTATAACTTTAAGTATAGAGGTAGAGCTACTAGCTCTTTTAAAAGTATTAAAAGAAGCGACTTTCCTTAGCTAGCTATTTATATCTCTATAACTATAAATTCAGACCCTATTATCTATAGAATATAATAATATATAGACTATATAAATTCTTATAAAGGAAAATAGTAAGCTATTAGCCTAGCTATAGTATATTAATATCTAGTAGTATTAGTTATACTAAGAGGTCTAAAAGGGACTTATTTCTATCCGTTAAGTTTTAATAGTAACGATAAAAGCTAACGGTCTTATAAAGCCCTTACTAAAGTAGAAGCTAGCTATCTTTTTATAGTAAATTAAGCTAGAAGATGTTTAAGAGAAGCTATCCTTAGAAGCCCGCTTTAAGAGTCTATAAGAGGAGCTAATAGTATATATAAGGAAGGAAACGTCTATAGCTAAAGAGAGGAACTAAGACTTATCTTAAAGAAGGGCCCCTAGCTTAATTAAGACTTATTCTTCTTAAAAGGCCCCCTTTTTAAGGACTTATCTTTAGAAAAGACCCCCTTTCTTATAGGACTTAATTCCTCCTTAGGGCCCTTTTCCTAAAGTAGGTCTAAAAGAGCCTAAGGCTAAAACCCGGATTTCTCGAGTAAGGGATAAGTATAGACTAAGACCTCCTCTATACGCTTACCGGCCTAATTATTTAGCTTTACCCTTTCTATAAGGGCAGGCTATAGCTAAGGGGGTGTGTCGTAAAGCGTGGCCTAATTTCGTAGTTCTCGGAGATATCCCTTAGTAAGAGGGACCTAGGAAGCTAAAAACCCGGTTTAAAAGAAGGAGCTAAAAGGAGGTATAAAGAGGAGGGTAGGGGTATAAGGGGAAGCAGAAGTAGCGATAGCTTCCTATAAAGGTAGCGAGAGATAAGACGGATATACTAGCAACGGCTAGAAAGGAGGGGAAAAACTAGTAAAAAGCTCGGTAGTTAAGAGGATATTAGTAGCTTCTTTAAGTAGCAGGATCTTCTTTATTAATTAAGATACTAGATAGGTATAAAGAGGGGCGTTAGATAAAGGAAGGAAGGATAATTAAGGTAATATAATAATTACTCCCCTGCCGTAATTACTACCCCCGTAAGAATTAAATATCTTTGCCCTGCCTATCTAACCCCTTACTTTTAATTTTACCTTTGTGTATTTTATATGCACTTCTCGTATCTCTCTTCGCGAGAGTTATAATTCTCTTAACCCTTAAGCTTATATATATATATATCTTACCTTTATCTTAAAGCTATAACCGCTATTAATATATTCCGCTTAATCTAAGGTTATATACTACTTCTTATAGCTACTTAATATTATACTTATAGCTTAGTATATATCTTATAATACTAAGCTAAACTAGGTTTTAGTATAATTCGTAGGCGTCGATAGCCTTAATTCTAAGGCCGCTGCTCTCTCTTCTTATTCTTTAGGACCCACGATAGGCTATATTCTTCGCACGAATCTTCGCTCGAATCTTCGCATAGGCAAGTTATTATAGATGTAAGCGTTAAAGGGCTATCATAACCTGTTAAACCAGTTATATTATCCTCTAACAAATTTAGAGGCACCTCCGTTAGAGATGACTGGTTGGTATTGTGGTATATATTTTCTACATAATTTGACTGCTTGTAATGCCTTCGCTGAGAGTGCTTTAGCTTAGCCTGAAGGGCGGTATTGGGCGCAGCCCCTGATTGGGCCAGCCTAGCCTAGTCGGTCTGAGCGACACGAGCCCTAGAGGCTCGTATTCATCATCTTCCTCTTCTGCCTCTATTCATCATAAGACTAATATACGGAGTAATACCTCGGGTCTGCTCCCGCCCCTCACTGTTGAGCCCACCAAGGGCGGAGGCACGTCCTGCCCGAGTCGGTGGGCCCAACAGCGCTTTCTACCATTAATCTGTATTTTGTTTTGCGCACGAGGTCTGTTTGCGCTGCCATAGCTAGTCGCCGTTGCCCCGAGCATCCTCGAGAATCACCTCAGCTGCCTTGTACGAGGCCATGAACTGGCCGATGATGGGGAAAGGACTCGGAGGGCGAGGGAGGGCGCTGCCGTCGACAACATGCAGCCCGCGCGTGCCACGGACGCGGAAGCGACTGTCCAGGACAGCCAAAGGGTCGCCGTCGGCACCAATGGCGGCGGTGGATGATGCGTGGTGTGAGTAGACCTGCCGACGGATGAAGTCCTTGGTAGCCTGCGCGGTGCAGTTGGCTCCAACACGGCCAAGACAGGGCTGGAACTCGGTGAATGGGCCGACAGGCTCAGCCATGCTGGACAAGACGTCGCGTCCAAACTCGATCCCCTCGTACAGCGCTTGGAGATCTTGCTCGGCGCCTTCGGCCCAGAAGTTGAAGAAGATGTCGGGCACGTCGCGCGGGTCCGCCGAGCGAAGGCCGACAGAGCCGCCGCCATGGTTGCGCCCCTGCGCGTGAAGCATGGCGAAGGAAAATGTAGTCGGCGGATCCCCCTGAGGCCGTGAGAAGCCCGGGAAGAAGCCGCGGAGTACACTGGGCGGGTTCCAGAAGACAACGTCGCGCTCATTGTCTTGGGCGACGGAGCTTCTTTTATAGACGAGGTGCGACGCACCGGGAATGGCATATGGCCCTCTGCCTTGACGCCACAGCCCGACGCAAGGGTCGTCGCCAATGCCATGCGTACACTGCGGTGCATTTGGATCGGCCGGAGCACTCAAGTTAACGGAGGCGTGCGCCGCCAGCGAGATCTCGTAGTTGTCCTGCAGGTGGGCGCCGACACCGGGGAGGTGGACGACAACGGGGATGCCGAACTTGGCAAGCTCGTCGGCCGGCCCGATCCCACTCAGCTTGAGGATTTGGGGCGTGTTGAAGACGCCTCCGGATACGATGATGCCCTTCTTCGCCAACACCCGATGTCTTGGGAGGCCGGCGCGGTTCTTGGAGCGTGGGTCGGCGCGGTACAAGGACTTGCCCTGCATATACTCGACACCGATGGCGCGAGGCGTATCCCCGGAGTCGTCAAAGAGGACCCTGGTGACCAAAGTCTCAAGCTGGATAGTAAGCAGGTTGACGGGAGTGCCGTCCTCGTTGCGGGCAGCTAACACTGAATCTAGCAGGAGGTTGGCGTTGGTTCGGCGGCCGCCCGGCGTGTGATGGAAGGGAAAGTTGAACAGACCCTGTTGCCTGTCTCTGGCCGGGTCGTTGGAGTTGATATCGACGGACATCCTCTCATAAACATCTTCGTCGTGTCCCATCTTGGCCGCAATCTCTCTGGTTATAGCCAGCCGCCCACTTCGGTTGGCGAGCGCCGCCTCGGGAGGCGTTGTCGAGGTAGTAAGCCAGCCATCGAAGCCGTGGCCGAGGGTGCCCTTCGGTGAGTACATGTTTCGTTCAAACTCCTCAAAGTAACCACGCATGCTCCGCGGGCTAGCACCACTCTGTCAGCGCACAGTCTTGAGTTTGGGCGGCAGCCAAGCACATACTTCCACGTCTCGTCGCCCGTCATCTCAGATATGTGATCCCAGTAACTGTCTTGAGGAAGTACCGCGGCACCAGCATTGTGAGCTGAGCAGCCGCCGAGAGTGCCAGATCTGGGATAATATACGCCCAGCCTCTCGGACCCTGCGGGCGGGTTCTGGCCGCTATAATAATCTCCATCGGGCGTGAGCCATGTGAAGTAGCGGTTGCTATATGCAATCTCGTCGTCGTCGTGGTATCTCACGAAAAAGTCCCAGCGAAGCGCATCGTCCTCGGCCGCTGCATTTGCGAGCGCAATAGCGACGGTCGTGTTTGTGTTGGACCGCTGATCGTCTCCAGCATCGACCAGAAGGACTGAGTAGCCGCTCTGAGCGAGCTTTGCCGCAACGGGTGCGCCACCGGGGCCGGAGCCAACGACGATGTAGTCGTAGGGGGCATTTGCGTCGAGGGCGGCAGAGATGGTCGTGGCAAAGAAGAGGAATATCACCCAATGGATGCGAGAGTTCGAAAACATGATGGCTTTCAGGTTGTGAGTTTCGACGGGGACGTCTAGATCGACGGAGAAGGGTTGTAAGGAGGGGAAACTGAGAACTGATATAATTAAGCCAAGCTGTCCTGATAGATCACGGTTACCAGTCACCCCTACCGAGATGCCTCCGCTTTTGGAGTCTGGTACGACAACTGTAAGGTTTGGGTAATCTACGAAAGAATCGGCAATTCAGTTTCTTACTCTGATGGGGGGAATTGGCAGCGCCGATGCAGGGGCGAGAATCCTATCCGGCAACTCGTCAGAACCGCCATACGTAGGCATCTGCAGTGCAGAGGCAACGGCAGAGGCAGCACCGTAGGTGAGAAAAGATTCACACTCGCTCACGGCGCCAAGATCGAATGGATTCCATCTCATCATTGATTTGTTTCTTTCATCTACCGCGGAGGCATACGTCCTTGCAAACTTCGTCGACACATTGAGGCGAGCATTTTTGGCAACCCAACCGACGCGTCTCGGAAACACCAGAGAGTGAGATGCCCGTATTTCCGGTGCCAAAGGACGCAGAGCCTCGTGCCTCTCAGCTGAACTAGTCGCCTGTTGAGCCTCAGGACAACCACCCTGATTGGATCTAGTGACGGGCTCTCGTTCTTGGCCGCCCTGGGGTCACATCAACTTACCGCCACATCCAGATACGCGCTCTCCCTTGCAGAGCACTTGGATCTCTCGATGTTCATCAGTCACCGACCGGCAACTCCTGTTAGCGCATCGACAGGAATTGGAACCTCTACCTTTACCACACCCACAAACTCTGGATAAGTCCACATCGAACCCTATCTATCGATCGGCTGAAAACTTGGCGTCAACATATCGTCGCATCTCGCAGCCAGGTCCAAGGTTTATTCTCGCAGCGCGCCCAGCTAGCCGTAGCATTATTGGGATCACAGGGTTCGGCTTGTCTGCACCCGAGATGAAGTGAATGACGCTCGGTATGGTCGACGGCATGCCGGGTGCGTTGACACGGTCCCGTCCCGGCAAGCCTACTCCTTCAACGTTTATTTAAAGTCATGGCGAGCAAGACCGGTAACATAGAACCAACCAGGCCGGATAAAATTGAGGGCATTATCGCGTAGCCCATAGTCGAGATTAAGGGCGTCAACAAGGAGAAACCCGGCCACAAGCAGGCCACAGTTGACCCGACGCCCTCGGCAGGCAACTAATTTCTGCGGCGGCAGCAGCTCAGGGACATGCATGCTTGACTTTGGGTCGTTTTCAGCTATTGGATAAATGCTTAGAGGTAGAGGCTGTAGGTTGCGGTTTTTTATCAGCTGAACTCAGGTTATCTGCCCACTGCACTCCAGCAGCCGCGAAAAGTCTTTCCAATTGGGTGTGGCAATTGATATACGTGCAGATGTTGCTTAATTGGATGGCTCACCGAAGAACGTGCATCGTGTACGTAAGGGCGACGGTCGATATTGTTTCCAGGGAGACTGGGTTGTCACGAATATATGCAAGGAGCTCAATTCAGCCCATATAATTCCGTCTTTTCCGTCTTGTATCGTAATGTATATATAGCATCAGTGTCGACTTATTTCCAGCCAACGTCTACAAGAGTTCGATATAGACGATTATCGTGGCCGCCATCGCGCACAGGAGGTCGTCTGCCTGGTTGCTGCCCAATGGGCCGATGAGCACCACATGTAGTGTTGCTTCGAGGAAGCCAATGCGAGAGAAAATATAATAAACCCAGGGGTTTGTTCACAAGCACGTGAGAGTTTCTATGACGAAAAAGGCCGGAGTGTGTCACATATACTAGACTTGGCACTCGTAGCTCTCCGAAGCACAGCACCCAGTAACGCGCACCATGTTGACGTGGAAGCACTCAACGTTCCATGCCAGAACGAACGCGACAGCGACCCAGGTGCAGGCAATATACGTAGACTGAATTAATGGTCCTCTTACTGACTTGAACTATGAGGCAGATTGACAATCGAGTCAAGGTCAACCGCCATGTTTGTATTTTCGACCCGATTAATATCGGATAACTCCACGAACCTCAAGGGCAGTCTGCCTCGCGGATCGACCGTCGTATCATGGCTGCGAAGCGCTCACCTGTGCACCGTCCATGGTACGAGGCACCCGGAAGACTACGGGATTCCAGAGGAAAAAGGTCAGCTCCGTCTCATGCCACAGCACCTGCCAACGACCCCAGATGGAGTCGGCACACTTCTTACGTGCAGCGGGAGAACGACGTTGGTGCCCCGCGGCGCCTCTTCCGATGGGGAAGCGGGCTTGATTCCGGGATGACACGGGAGACTTCAAGTTTCGCCACAGACGCGGGAAGGGGGTCCAACATGGCGGCGAGGAAAGGACAATAAGTCTATCAGAATTCCGTCGCAAGCTCTGCAAACGTCTTGACATGAAGCTACATGGACCCTTCCACTGTTCGGAGAGGCAAGCTATTGCGCGACAAGAGCCGGCAGAACAAAGCCGCGTCTTTGGCTGACGGCGCAGTTGCTCCGCTACGTTGTAGGCAAGCTTCTCAGGGGTATGAACTCGAGCGAGCCCGGCCACGGCGAAGTCCGCCTCTGGCTGGACCCGACTCGTTTTGGAGAAACCCGAACCCTGCAAGCCACGACGCACTCACGGGGATGGTCAGAACAGCTCCTCGAGCTCACGCCAGTCGGCAAAGATTCCGCGCACAAGGTTTCGGCACAGCTCCTCCTCAGCCAGTCAAGAAACGTGAGCGACCCTCCGTGACACATCCTTGCAAGAACCGCGCCAAGGGACTCATCAGCCACCGCACCGTCGCACCGCTTGTCTCCGGAAGCTCCAATCGAGGCCAGCAGATCGATCGAAAATGGCCTCGACAAAGCTCACCGGCTATCTCATCGGACCATGGGCAACAGAATTTGCTCAACCCCGAGCCGGCGGGGGGCTACCGAGTACCACCGAGGCGCCGGGCTCCGGGGGCAGACGGAGAGCTCGTACGTGCTACATGTGAGCCCTGAAAGTAAGTCAAGGTTTTCCTGGAATTCCAAGGTTCACCTGCAACGATGGACGGGTCGAGGCAGCCTCCCTCCGGCGCCCTGTCCTCTCACCCCGCGCCCGGGCGCCTCCCATTTACGTCCCCTGCGGCACAGGCGCGTTCCCGAGCGAGGGCCGAGTTCTCGTGGGAGACGAGTCATCATCGGCATCAACCCCAGGATTCGCAGCCCGCGGTCCGCGCGTCAGCTTCGAGCACGCGACCTTGCTCGCCTTGGCGCGGCGTGGCGTGGCCTGCCGCTTGGCTGCATTTGCTGACTGCAATGTCGATGAGAAGCATCAAGGCCAGTCTGCGTCTCGGTCAGCGATCTTCGGACGCCTGGTTCACGGGCACTGGTTGGTCACTTGCTTTCCCTCCCGCGGCATGGATCCAGCAATTCGAGTCAAAGGACCCTGGCGCCCAGCATTGGAGCATGCTACCGTCAGGGCGTTCGATGGCTCAAAGGTTACACGACGTCTTGATGCGGACCTGGCAACCAATGACGCATGGTGAATGCGTGAGCGTCCGTAGTCCAGGGCTCTCTTGGGGCCTTGTCAGTGTCAGCGAGCTATTGATCGGTGACCCAGGTCGATCACAACGCAGCCAATCAGCCGGCCCTGAAGATCGGATCACTGCAGCCGCTCGCTCTGACGTACATATGTCGGCCGAGAAACCTGGGCCGCCCTGAGCTAGGCAGGCTAGGGAGGCTCTAAATCATGTTTCCGGCTGGGGGTCTAGAGCAGGTGGGTGGCCAGGGAGAAGAAAGGGCCGTCTCGGTCCGGACTTCTCGGGCGCATCGGAATGTCTGACGGAATCATTTGTCTTAAAAGGAGTCCACGTCCTCCCACTTACCATCTCTCTCGTTCTCTCGATCTGCAACGAATCGCCAGCCCGAGACAGATTACAACGACCCATCGTGTCATCTCGATACGCCCCTGTTGGCAGGCAAAGCCCGGCTCTTACCCGCTTCATCGGCCAAGATGCGCGTCCTCGCCACAACTCTAGTGTCGGCTCTCGTCGGGTAAGGGCCCCGGAAGAACCCCCACTTGTCCATCGTTCGCCCTTGGCCGGATGGAGTTCTTGGCGCGCTTTGGTTGCTAACGCGCATATGTCGGCAGAAGCGTCTGGCTAGCGCAGGCAGCGGAGGACGCCTGCGGGCCGTCGGTGACGGCGGCGCCGACGAAGCGGCCGAATGCGTGCCCGACGGTGACGTCGACGAGCGCGTGCTCGACGTGCATCCGAGCCTTGTGCGTGACAGTCTCGACGCTCAGCTGCCGGCGAGGATGCCCGACGCCGGTGCCGACTGTTTACAACAAGTTCGAGTGCGGTGGGAGATGCCCGGGAGGGTGCGGCACCTTTTACGAGCTTGCGGGCTGTGGGAAAACGGCGTAGCCGACGGCGAAGGCGACGTCGCTGGTCGGGCAGGGTAGCTGCTTGTCAAGGGAGAATGGCGAGGTGATTCGAGGGTAGTCTGGGCAGGTGTTGCGCAGGCGCTGTTCGAGAAGCCTAGAGAGCGTGGATGCGTGTACCAAGTCGTGGCTGGAACATTGACGACTGAAGGCGAGGTTGCTCTGTATACAGCCGGGTCAATGGCATTGGGCATTCACGTCTTGCCGACTTGTTTTTCTTCTTTGTCTTGCTCTTGTCAGCTTTCACCAGGTCTCGGCCCGTGAATGATGGCCGGTTGGGCTGTTTGCATGCTCGGCCGTTCAAGCCGGACAATGTGGACAGGAGCAGGTTGGGCGGTTGCGCAAGAGCGGTTTTTGCCTTGTTCTTTGTCGCGGAGCCGGTCACGGGGGGGGCCAAGACGCCACGCGAGTAGAGATCATGGTGAGAGGCGAGTTGTCAGGGAGAGGGGTTGGTTCGTCTTGCCTGCTGGCGATGGATGGTGGCGATGATGGATTGTGGGTGGTCGGAGTGGAAACAGGGAAACAGCCCCCGCTCACGTGCCCCGAGTCTGCTCTGTCTCTGCGCTGCCGGCTGACGTCACCCGCGCCGGTCAGGCGAGGCGTCCGTCACCCGTTGAATTACTCACTCTTCATCCCATGTTAAAGGACGCATTGATGAAGGTGGGCTGCAGATCAGAGAATCCTCATTGGATGGCAGCAGCCTGCTCTCCATATTTCCGCGTCTGCCGTCGACTTCGGCATAATAAACAGGGGCGCTAATAATTACCACAAGCTCTAGCCTGGAGATTGATCATTTCTTTTCGACATGACCTACAGAGTAGTGCCTGGCTGGACACCACGGCTTGAGATGGCATGGCAGCGTCCAGCAGGGCTGGCAGCCTCATTAATTACCTAGGTAGGTAGGTAGGTCCCTGCATGCCGGCCCCCCGCCCCTGGGGGGTACCCGCCACCCCTGCAGACGTGCCACGTCGCCCCCTGCGGCCGCCGCTGAAACGACACTGTTTGTTGATTCCCAATCAGCCCAAGCAACCCACGCGCCCACATGCTCAGCCGGTTGACGATACTCTCTCTCTCCTGGTTGGGCTCTTGCAGTCCCTACCAAGTCTGTCTGTCTGTCGCCCACACGCGCATACCCACGCCGTCCCCAGCCCCCCTGCGGTCCCCCCCCCAGGCAGTGAGCGAGTCAGGCGCGGATGCCAGGACCAAGCGACGACGACGACGACGACGACGCTCCGACCCCTTGCCGTCCGAGCAGACGGCACGGCACGTGAGCCGAGGAATCTGTGCGTCAAGAATGGCTGTGGCGCCGCCCAGATGTCGTCGTGTCTCGTCGTCGGGCTCCCGCCCTTTCTTTATGCCCTCCCGGCCCACGGTCTGTCAAAAGGGGGACGAGGAGGGGCCAGACGATGGAAACAATCAATGCGTCGAACCAAGGGAAAAGGCAAAACAAGGTGAACCCTGGTGCATGAAAAAAAAAGAGGCTACAGCAGCTCCTTACGCTGCTACCGTGGTGGCATGCTAACCTCCCGTAACAAAAGCCGCGGGGCACAGCCTCAAACCCTGCTGACGTCTCGTGTTTTTTTCACCAACCACCACCGCTCTCTACAAAGCATTTATCCTCGTCCCAACACACAAAGCCCATCTTCATTCCTCGAGGCCGGCCGCCACGCAAGCAGCGCCAGAGTCCGCAGCGAGGCTACTTCTACTCATGGCCTCGCCGTCCCGTCTCCGCCCCCCCCTCCTCTCATCTCCCTTCACTTGACTCGTCTTCCCCACCCGCTCCGCCCGCTCGAATCCGACTCTCCATCATTCCGGCTGCCGCTCCCGTCGACGCCCTTCCGCCTTCTTTAGTGGCTCGCTTGCGGCGCCTTTCCCAACACCCTGCTTCGCCCCAGAAAATCCCGGGTCGCGCGTCCTCCCGGGCCGCCTCTTAACCCCCGTCTCCTCGCGCTACCGAGCGCCGCCGTCCTCGTCTCCCTTGCTCGCTTCCGACCATGTCGACCGCCCCGGGCCCCCTCGCATCCCGGCCCCACTCAAGCTCGTCGCCTCCGGCCGTAGAGGCGCAGTCGCTCGCCTCGCTCAACTTCTTGGCTGCGAACCCGCCTCAGTACCCCGAAAAGCCCACCGAGAAGAGGCCGGGGCCGCTGGTCCTCTATATTTCCCGCGTCCCGGGCACACGGGGTTAGCCAAAGACCAGCCCGTCGCGTTTTCTGCCGCCGACTCCAAGCTGACTTGCTGCAGACGTCATCCTCTCGCCCTTCAAGCCCCAGGTCAGAAACGTCACGGCAGAAGACGTCGCCACCTCTCTCTACTATGTCCACCTCGATGCCCCTTCCGATCTTTCGGCCCCCCTGGCAGACCGCGCCGAGCCGCGGAGCTCAAGCGAGGACGCCTCCTCCCTTCAGACCATTCCCCGAAAGCCTCTCCCCGACTCGGCGCGGCCCCTGACCCCCGAAAGCCTCCCGAGCGCGAGCCGCCTCAAGAATGATCAAGGCGCCGCCGCACCACTCGGCTCGCGACAAGAAGCCTCGCCCTCCCCATCTGCCCTCAGGCCAAACAACGACTCTGGGCTGGGGCTTACCGCCGACTTGGCCGACCCGCCCCGTCGTCCCTCACCCGGGCTTCAGACGGGCATGCCAGCACGCAAGCCGGTAGCGTCCCAAGTCAGCGTGGACTCGCCTCGTTCCGCCACTGCTCAGCCTGTGCCGGTGCTGGCCTTGGACATTCCCACGCCCACCGATGACGCCCTGTGCACCATCGATCAGACTGTTGCCCATGCCCTCTCACCCCAGGCGCACAGCCGGAAGTCGTCTTTGCCTGGTGCGCCATTCACCCTGACCCTGATCCGCCGCGACCCGGGCTCGGGCAACCAGTGGAACGTGGGCCGGGTCTCGTCGCGCCAACTCGACCCCCCGTCGGCCGCCAACGAAACCGCCGACTCCCCCACGGCTGCGACTGTGTCGGCGAGCCCGCCCATCGACGTCGAGATCGAAACGTCAGGGTACGCCAAGTTTCGCCGCCTGCCCATGAAGCAGAGCGCTGAAGTCGGCATCGAGGCGGCGCTGGCTGCGGCAGCTGAAGAAGTGGCCCGGCCACGCAACGATATCGGCGTCTTCTCGAGGCGAGTCGCCATGGGGTACTCGAAGAGTTACTCGAAAAGCTTGACGGCCAACATCAAGGGAAAGCTCGGGCGTCTGGAGCGAGCGGGGCGCGCGAGGATCAACCAAGGGCGCAATGGCAGCATCGTGTCCATCGACTCGGCCATGTTCTCGGCTCCGTCCGGGTCGGAAGAGGACGACTTCTCGAAGCCGCGGGGATATACGTTCCAAAGCCCCTGGGACGGCAAGTGCGAATTCCGGACAGGCCTCGGCGGGCGCAGCGTGCAGTGCCGACACACGCTGCACGGCGGGGGGCCGGCGGCCTACAACCCCCTGGTGGCGGAGCAGGGGCATGGCATGGCCAAGAGGGGACCTGTGACGGTGAGCGAGCTGCGCTTCAGCCTGCCCACGTCGGAGCTGCTCGGGGAGCAGGCCAAGAGCGCCAAGGACCAGTGGCGCGGCAACTTCAGCAAGCTGCTGCGCCCGAGCCACGAGCACGACGACGACGACGACGTGTCGCCCTTTGAGGTCAACGTCGGCACCGAGCGGGCCGGCGGCGGCGTCAGCGGCCGGAAGGCCAAGCTAGGCAAGCTCATTGTCTACGCCGACGGGCTCAAGATGCTCGACCTGGTGGTGGCGGCCAACATGGGCGTCTGGTGGGGAGCTTGGGAGCGGACATTTTGAGCGCCAGGCGTTTCTTTGTCCAACGTCTTCATGTTGGCGTTTTTTTTTGACACTTGTTTTTGATTTTGCCTGTGTCCCACGGGATGTCAAGTGTTGATATCCAAGTCGTGAGTCGGGCAGGGGTACGACTACCAAGCCAGTTATGCAGCATAGCGTAGAAGGATTGAAGTTTCTAGATGACGCCACGCAGTCTGCTCGATTGTAATGGACAGCCTCAACAGGCTCCGTGGCGCCAGAATGGCGCTTTCTCCCGTCTCGGTGATGGTGCCCGCAGTCAGTGACGAGGCCTCTACTCTATCCGTATGGCGACTTATCGACTCGATCCTACAACAAGAACAACTCTTCACACTCTGATGCTTCTCGAGCTGCATGCAGTATCATCCACCCCGACCACTTTGCCATTCAACCCCGCCGAGTAGACGTTGCCCCTCGGCGCACCATATGCTTGCTTAGACATTTCTTCTGTACGCAAGGAGCACAGTCCTCAACCTAAGCACGGCATAGACTGGCCGCTCTCCAGAGGCTCAGCCACCATCATTTGTGATGGTGATGATAGAAGAAGGGCGGCCGGAGACGTCTTGCGCATTGCGTGGCCAACACCTTGCGCCAGGTCCCTGAAGACGAAGAACAGCTTCTTCGTCCAGTCGACCTGACCGTCAGCTCCGACAGTTGACGGGGCCACGAAGCTCAGATGAAACAGGGTTGAAGCCGACAGCCGCCAACTGTGGAAAAAAAAGGGGGTGGCATGTTGAAAATAACGCTGACAGCCAAGTTGAAAGGAGAGTTTATGCTCGGACGAGGTAACCGAGCACGCCGCGGACAGCGCGACAGAGGTTTGGCGCTTGGAATCCCTTATTTATGTCCCGCAAGAAAGAGTTTGACGCTGTTGCAACAACATGATACATCCAATATTTCAAAGACAGAAACCCGCCAACATATAGCCTATTCATCAATCATGGAGCGGTAACTTGCAACTTTTCCAAGCGGCAGTCAGAATTTTCGATTATTACCAACCTAGTTTGCAGTCGTATCAGCACGTTGCTAATAACCAGCACATTCGTCAACAGCGAGACAAGCCCTTGTCAACCTCTCAAGTTCTGCACGTCCTTTGTCATAAGAGAAGAGTCAAGTCGCTCGCACCATAGTCGTCTATCGTGTTAGCGCGCCGCTAGCAATTAATTATACTGCTCGTCAACGGACGGCGGGATAGGGCATCTACGCAGAGTGATGGCCACCCAGAAAGCTCTTGCGGTTCAAGTGCTGATGGACTAACCATGGCCGGTCCGGTCCTACAAATACAGAATCCTTCGGCGTCGAGATACAATTTGGAGTTTCCGTTGCGGGCCCGCACCACCTTCAACGCCCAGTCGTCTACATTCCATCCCAGTCGACATGACCCCCGTGCATCTTGTTCATGTGGCCATAGACGGGCGAGCCCGAGTCGAACGTCATGAGGCATACCCAGCATATGTGGACATTGCATGCCATGCACGTCATGTGGTTGCACCCCGCCGTCTTCTCGATTGGCGTCTTGCACTTCGGGCAGTCCTTGATCCCAACTTCTTTCTTCAGTTTCTCGAAGGCGGCATAACCTCCGGACCGGATATCTTTGTACTCGGCGCAAGTTATGTCCACGTGAGGCTCGTGGCACGCGGAGCAGGTGCGCTGCAGGCAGTTGGCGCAGGTGTGCGTCTCCGGCAGTCCAGTGACTCGATAGATATAATCGCAATTAGGAGTGGAACAGAACCGGAGCTTGTCCGGGAGGCGCCGGACGTAGGACGCCAAAGATCTCTCCAGCAGGTCTTCCAAGGCGGCTGAGGACAGGTGTTCACGCAGGTCTTGGAGGCTGATCGCGCAGTTGCAGTTGCCCCGGCCGCCGTGGCATAGAACGGCGAAGTCGGCCCCGGAGGCTGATACTCCTGTGCAGCTGTTCTCGAAACAATCTAGGCAGTACACGTGATGGCACGCCGTCCGAACAGGGGCTTCCGCTTCCATCCAGCACACGGAGCAATCCTCTGCAACGGCGGCGCCAGAGGGGGTTTCGGATTTCGGCTGCTCGACAAGCTCTTGGCCGTTGACGACTGCCAGCGCGACATCATAGTCCGCGCAAGAGCCCGAGATGACCATCTTCTTGGGAGATGCAACGACGTCCAAAACTGCTTTCTCGGCACCGAGTCGGCTATTGATCACTTTCAATCCGCCACGGCAAGCCCAGCGAAATTTGGGCGTGTCCAGCTCGATGACATGAGCCGAAGAAGCCTCGACGTGCAACAGGTCGGCCAGTTGCCTCTGAGCCTCCTTGCATTTGTTCTCGGTTCCAAAGAGGCGTAGCTCCTGTTTTGCCTTGTCGCGGACCACGACGACTCCCAGCTTCTGCTCCTGCTGCTGCTGCTTTATCGAACGCCAGAGGTGTCCGTCTCGCTGGAGAGACGAGTCCCAGAGGCCTTGTTGGCCGTCCTTGGCAACGACACCGCTAAGGATGCTCTCCATGACGACCTTGGCACTGGCCACTTCCTTGTCCGATTCCCCCTCAACCTTCAGCATCCTGGAACTAGGGTACGAGCGGAAACAAACGTGTTTCTTCTTCCACACGTCGAGATGGGCATTTACCCGGCACATGACGGCGTTGTATATATCACTCCTAGCCTTGAACTTGGCGGAGAAGACTATCTGGACGGTGAGTTTCCCGTGTTTATGGAACGGGAGTTCGGTCCCGTTGAGCTGAGAGACTGCATCTCTGGCATCCGTTTCATCGAAGAAGCGTGCCGTAGCCTTGGCGCGCTTGGCCGTCGACTCCGGCGTCACCTCCCAGTACTCAACCGGACCGATTCTGGTCAGAAGCGATCGAACCATGGCTACAGCTTGCTCATCGTCAATGGAGTAGCCTGGGGTTTCCAGTTTTATGCGATGCGGTTTATCCGCTTGCAGTGAGATTGCCCGGCAGATTTCTGACTCGCCAGCAGACGCCGGGACATCCGTCAACCTCACGGTCCAATCCGCAGGGCGATGTGAGCGAAAAGGCAAAGACGAAGCCTGCGACGGCGCACCCGCCAGGACTTTCTGGCCCAAAACCGTGTATGCGCCTGTTGCAAATTTCCGTCTCACTCGTTCAGCGATGGCATCGTTCCTGAAGTTCAACCAGATAGTCCGGACGGCCTTGTGCCACGAAACATGGACTTTCTTGCAATCCACGCGCCCCAGGGCGTGGCCAGTTGGCATTCGGGCTGCGACCGGAGTTGCCTGGATCCGAGACTTGTCCCATATGAGTCCCGTTTGCATGACAGTGCAGAGTTTCTTGGAGAAGGCTGGATCTTCTGCCCGCACGTTGGCAGCAAACAGCCCATCCTGATGCATGATCCATATGTCCTTCTGCTGAATCTCAAAACCATGCCCGGCGCAGAGGGACTGGACGGCTTGGGGAGTGGTGCCCTGGGGCAAGCCGCGGAGATGCACAGCAGAGAAGTCGCTGGGGAGTGAGACGTTGGATACGCGACCTCCGTCCTGGAATCTGACAAATGCGCCGGCGATAGTGCGACTGAAATCCTCGGTGTTGCCTTCATCCTGCTCCAACTTTCGTATATACATTGAATGTTAGATCTGGCTCGTTTCGGAGCACAGACTTCGTTGACTCACATCCTGAGGAACGGAACGAAGTAGAGGAGTCGAGTTCTTTGCGTGGCTGAACGGACAAGACAGTCCCTTTAGGCAACTTCCAGAGAGGAAAAACCTACAGGGCACCATTGAACGGTTGTCCGTCTTGGATTTTGGAGCTTCATGGGCCGGGCGGGGCCGAAGGGGCAGCAGGGTCGGCTTCGAAGCACACATGGTCATTCTTGGCGTCTGCGCAGACTTGACGTTTACGGTAAGTAAATGGAAGAAAGCTAACATTGCGTAAGATGGAGTGTACAGAACAAGCAGGAGAGCACCCGGCATGGTGGCGAGCGACCAATGAAGAACGAGGTTGAACAGAATTCTCCATGTGCATGCATAACTCGTCATGGTAACCGACTGATTGGCCAAGACCTTGATTCTGCCAGCACACGCGTGCAGTCGGGCCAGCAAAGGCGGCGTTTCCCCGCCCGTATGCTCCAATCATCCATGGATATTACATCGTAATATATTGGCTCCGCGACTTCTACTGTAAAAGTGATCGAGGTCTCGCCCATGGCACCGAACCATCTTCAAGCTTCCCAAGGCCCCTCGGCTCCGCGACCGCTTGTGCCACGCCTGACGCTCTGGAGAGGGAGAGTGGGCACTTGGTGACTTTGGTCACGATCAAGTTCGATCCCAAATTGGAATGAAATCGTCGCTCCTTTTGTTTGCGAAGCCAACCGGGATAAGGGCGCTGGAACAGGCCGAACTATACTCCAACGCGTCTCTTGTAATCACCCTTTGGCCCAGCAAAATGAAGACGCCAAAAATGTCCGACCATTTAAAGGGCAGCCTCGCCGTCGAAGTAAGAACTTGACCGGTAGTTACATTATACTCCGTCATGGATTGCCTCGTATCCGCAACAATCAGCAATACGCAAGTGAAGGGGCATTCGCCAATCACCCCAATGCAGCCACTCCCGTCTGAGACTCTGAGTCAACCGTCCTCGGCACTCACTAACAGGGGATCGAGGTCGGGCTCCGGGGATGGGTTTGTTTAGGCTCAGGGTGGCTAGGAGTTTCGATGTCGACCAAGCCTCTCTGACGGGTGGCCAGCGAATGACCACTCAACCACTGGCGTCCCCGTCACTATTTACATGTATTCATTGCTGCACCCGCGAATGGCCTTGCAGCTATTGCCAAGTGAGCTACTTCGCATCGAGGCACATATGGGACTATCCTGGAGCATAATGTGCATTCTGCTATTGACGTGCCGCGACCCATCGTTTTCTGTGTGACCAATGGCATTGGATCTGTTGCGTGGAATGTCTCAGCTTTTCATCCGCAGCATTGTGTTGACTACGGGGCCATAGCTACGTGGCAAAGGGTGAGTCGTGGAACCCATCAGTACATCAATAATGAATTGCAGAAGCTGCTCCGTTGAGCGCCAATCTGGATAATCGACTAGACAGCCATCTCCAGAAGCTCGCTACACCCCCCGACATACTTATGCCAACTCTAGCCGGCCACGCTGATGGGGGCCAGCACAATTACAGTCCTCTGCACTGCATCACTCGATGATTGCCTGCCTTGGTGGCTGTTGTTCTTGGCAACGTTTGCAGTTGACAATCCATTTTTGCATTACCCCAATATATTCCCACAAGCAAGACTTGATATGTCAGGAAAGGTCAATCTCCATGTTCGCGGCTTCCCGCGCTTCCTCAGTTTTGGCGGCTTCACGGACCTGACAGAGGGCAATCAGGCCGACTTTGCGTCTGCCCGCGCTTCTTCGGTCTTTCGATACGCTGGCATCGACGGTGCCGGCGACGGCGGCCAATATCTGACTGATGATCCAGCCACCACTCGAACCATCGGTCTCGCACGGGCGGTGGAGAAGGAACTCGGCAGCGGCAACCCTGTTGTGCCAGTGATGGTGTCTTATACTTGCAACCTCACCCTCGGTGACGTGGGTGGAATGCTTCAAAATCCCGACAGGCTGGCGCATAGCTTCGCGAACCTCATCCTATCGCTCAACCTGGCCACCAAGGCGGCAGATGAGGACCATCCCATGCCGGCTGCATACATCGTCAACCCGGACTTCCTCGGCAGCTGCCAGCAGCAAGCCTTGGCGCCGGACTACACGATGCCTGTCCGCCACCCGCTGACCCAAGCACTGCGTCACTGGCGTATCAGTGCTTCGCTGCCGGATAGCATCACAGATACTCTCCGAGGCTATGTGCACGCGCTGAACTGGCTGGTGCGTACAGTCGAGCCGACAGTCAGCTTCGGCTGGTCGGTTAGTATCTGGGGCGGCGGCAGCTCGAGCTGGGTTCAATCGACCGATGATGAACCCAGAGAGTTGGCTTCAAAAACAAGCAGCTACATCAAGTCCTTGGGGGTGTGTGACGGCGATGACCGCCCAGACTTTTTCGCCGTTGACCGGTACGAAGCCGATGACTTGACCATGCGCAGCTATATGAATGGCTACTGCTACGGCCCTCGGGAGTGGCGTCGCTTCTTTGACTTCTGCGGTGCCCTTGGCGAGCAACTGGAAGCGCCCATCATGCTGTGGCAGATTCCAGCGAGCCACATACCGCTGTCAAATGACAATGTCAACGACGAGTTTGAATCGCAGCATTGGGGCACGGGCGGCAGCTATATTCTGGGTGACGCTGGGGTCAAGTCGGACTATCACAACATTAACCCGAAAATCTTGGCCCTGAAGCTCGACAGAGCTCTCATGCCAGCGACCAATAGTGTGGAAGAGGTCTTTAAGCGCGCCGAGCCGTTTGATCTTTCGAACCCGGCATACAAAGATCTTCCTCTCCGCGGCATCTTTGCTATGCTGCTCGGCGGAGGCGCCACAACCGGCATCGTGTCGAGCATTGGTAATCCTGAGCCATGGGTGCGGGACAAGTTGAAGGAATACATGCAGGACCCGGTTCAACTCCCCAGTTCAGAATGATTCAGTAGCCTGCAAAAGAAAACTGGCGTTGCTCTGTAGTCGTTATCAACGTCACGAATAGTGTTTGGACTGATAAAGATTGCAGACAGGTAAAAGTTTCAGTCCTAGTGTCCATTGTGACATTTAGCTCTTAGGGATAGTGGCAGTCTCCTTGGTAGCAGGGCTTGTTAACGAAGTTGATCGTGAGCTGGCCCATGGCCATGTTATGGCCGGACTAAGTCGGCACGTTCCCACACTACCAGAGCAGGGCCGCGGGCACAGCCCAGGGCGCCTACAACCAGATTGAGAAACTGCTCGACCACGCATGCAGGCGCAAACGCTTTTCGGGGGGATTCCGTCACCTGATGATCCATCCGCATCTCCTTTTGCGGGACGTTAAACTCGGAGGTCTATATGAATGTCACCAAGCCGATCATCCATTCCCGGCCGGAGTTGACGGCCTGGCACAATGAACTCTTCTCGTATAGCACGGAAGAATTAACAGCTTCTGCATGCAATACACCAAAGGTAGGGAAGTCTCTAGTAGAGACAGTTCTAGAATGGGAAAGAGTATACAGTCTGTATATGAAGCAGCTTGAAATTTGAATGACAACGGAGAGTGAAGGTAAATATTTCCCTAGCAACATTGCCTGATGAAGGAATCCATATAGATCTCCCCAACTTGATATATCAAGAACAGAGGTAAATATACAGCTATAAAAAACGACATAAAACTAGGCTGAAAATCACGACCAACTAAGTGTTTTATCAAATTGGTAGAACACCGCTCCACCAGGCAAAATAGGGGTGCCCCAATAAGAGCATAATCATCAGGTATTTTAAGTGTGTTTCTGTCGTGACATCGGTCTAAACCCGGCGCGTTGGGGCACGGGCGAGGGGCGCCGAACCAGCAGAGGACAAAGATGTGTTCCAGACTATGCTCGAAGCGTCTCAGTGCTTCGGGCGAATTGTTACATATTCCGGGGCCAAAGTTCTCGAATATGCCACCCAGGATGAGGTCCCCCGAAGGGCGTTGAACTGGGCGGATGGTTGGTTCATCCCAGCCGCACTTACATGCGTGCGGAGCTGCATCGACTGTGTCGCCTTGGATGGCTTTCTCATCCCCTCACCATGGCAGCACCGCAAGTCAAGTTGTGTCATCACTCCAAGCCAGCTTCGGGTCAGTATTGTCCAAGGACAGGAAGCTAAGGAAGCTACCCGGGCATTGGGACCGCAAGCATCTTGCTTCAAGTGAAATGTCAGGGCTAGGGCCATCATGTCAAGAGCAGCGGCCCTTTGACCGTTCCGACGCCGCCGAGGATGTATCTCGATCCTTAACACTTCTGCCCTACGAACCACTGGGGTGCCCGAGGGAAGCACTACCCCAAAAAAAGTGTCAAACTGCGGGGAATTTCCCCAGACGTTAGTGTCAAGCAAGAAATAACTTATGATGGTCGTGCGGCCACGCTCGGTAACTCACATAGACAGAGTCAGTTGGGGCCAGAGAAAGCTGCTCGACGAGCTCCGCTTCGCACAGACTTATACGCAGCAGCTGGACTGGGACGCCATTTAGTATCCGAGGATCCCGGAAACTAGCAATTAGGGTTTCGGCATTAGAGGCCGAAGTGGCTTTGCATCCTTGCCCGAAACGTGAATGGAACCTCTCAAGGCTCATAGTGTTTTGCAAGTACCTGCGGCCTTGGTACTCGGCGCCTAATGCATGCCGTGCAAGAGCAGGAGAACCTAGGTCTAACATCCACAAGCTAGGGAGTAGGGCTGTGGCCTCTTTCCGATTAGAGTTGCCGATCATCTTTCGTGGCTGCCACTGAGTGAAATACTACTTTTGGCCTATGGCGGGCACAATGGCCGGCAAGGGCCGCAAACAAGCATAATACCATATATAGCCCCCACGCGAACCGTGCAGGTGAGGCCGGAGCTGGTTTGCACCAAGTTTGCACCTATCTTTCAGCACAATTCACGGCGATAGTCAACGTCTACGAATACGCTCCTTGCTCTCTCCCAGCCGCTTAGACCGAGGATACAGCAGTTGACGGCCCATGCCATTCGCTATTGCCCGCAATCTCTGACCTCCTCGTCCACCATACGGTGACAAGACTAGACAAGCTAGCCCTGCGCAATGGTAGCCTCTGCAAAGATGCTCTCGTCTCTCCTGGGAGTCGTGGAAAACTCCATTGTTCCAGTTACCCGCCATGGCGTCGCATCCGGCTCACCTCTCTTCGGCGCCGCAATCCTATCACGCTCCAACCTCAGCGTGCTGACCGTGGCCACGAACAACGGGCGAGTCTCGCCGCTGCTGCATGGCGAGCTGAACTGCATCCAGCAGTTCTATACCAGTACATTCCCCGACCCTTCGTGTCGTCCCGACCCGCGCAACGACACCATATTCCTCGCGACGCACGAGCCGTGCAGTCTTTGCCTAAGCGCGATTGCGTGGGCTGGGTTTGGCGAGTTTTACTACCTCTTCAAGTACGAGGAGACTCGGGATCTATTCGGGTTTCCCGATGATATCAATATACTGGAAGAGGTGTTTCGAGTAAGAGGAAACGACACCGAGGAGCAAGTGCAGCAGCGCGAGCTATACAACGCGGAAAACAAATTCTTCAAGGGGATGTCCATTGCAGACATGGTACAGGAAACCGATGAAGGAGAGAGGGACAGGCTGGCTGAGGAAATGAAACGGGTGAAGGGTTTATACGACGATTTGCACGCCACGTTCTTGACGGAAAAGGACCGGCTTCAAAAAGACCAGGCGGATGCGCCGAAGCCTTCCAACTGTTCTTTGCCTGCTTAGTTAAGATCTATCAAAGTGGTTGATTGGCCTTGAGACTATTGAGCCACAGACGGCAGTGATTCCTATAGAGGCTTTTTTTATATATCATTACTCGCATGCAGCCTCTAGGGCCATAGCGAGGCTAATAGGGGCCTAGGCCCCTATTAGCAGTCCTAGCTAGCTATAGAGCCCGGGGGCTTATAACTAATTAGGGAAAGGGTAGCTATAAAGGCAAAGATAAAGGAAAGGTTAGTCTAGTTCCTCCCGCGCGGTGTTTTCCCCCCCTAAGGGCCCTAGGGCCCCTAGGTTACTCCTTTTTAAGCTACTTATCCGTTCCTATCTCTATTTTAGCTAAGAAGGTTAAAAGGGCTTCCCTTCCTTTCTTAAAGCTATAGAGAAAAGGTAGGCTAAGGGCCTCCTTCTATCTTATAGAGGTCCGGTAAAGGACCTCTCTTTCCCTCCTATAGTTCGGGCACCTTAGGATAAAGTACCTAGCTATATACCTTCCTTAGCTATAGCGGTAGTTGTCTCGGTCTACCTTATTAGTTCTTTTTAAGAAGGAAAATAAAAGCTAGCCTAAAAGAAGAGCTAGTAAAAGGCTAAAAGGGTCGGCCTAGGCCTTCCTATAAAGTCCTTATCTAAGCTAAAGGCTAGGTAGGGGGTCTTTTAAATAAATATATAGTGCTTACCTAAGCCCTTAGCCCTAGGGCCTTTAGCTACCTTAGCGGCCTAAAGGCCCCTTTAATAGTCCTTAATAGCTTACTAGACCTTTCTTTATAAGTAGCTAATAAAGACTAAAGGGGTCCCTTAGGTAGGGGCCCTTAAGCCCTTCTTAGCTAGCTAGTTAGCTAGCTTATTACTAAAAATCCCTAGGTAGCTAGGGCACTAGTATAGCTATATATTCTAAAAGGCTTTTAAGCTAAATAAGAGCCTTTTAATATATATAGCTAGGGCTAAGAAACCTATAACCTTCCTTATAGCGGCTTAGCTATCTATAAAGATATAGGCCTTTATAAGGGGGTTAAGAGGGCTAAGCTTTAAGGGCCGAGGCCTCTTAGCTAAGTCTTTTAAGACCCTTAGTATCGCGAATAGCTCTACGTTAGCTACTTCGATCGAGGGCCCTAGGTTCTTATAGTACGCTTTAATAAGCTTATTTTCTAGGCTTATTTTATAGAAGGAGTAAGTATTAGTCTCTATAAGGGACCCCTTAAAGCACCCCTTAAAGCTATTAGTATAAAATACTAAGAGCTATAGCTTAAAGCCTTCTAGGCTAGCTAAGCTAGCTAAGAGGCGTTAGTACTACTTCTTAGCTAAGGGCTTAAAGGCCTTTATTATTATAATAAAAGCCTTAAGCTCTAAGGCCTATAAGGGCTCTTAGCTAGCTTTCCTTCTTTCTAAGTTATAATTAGGTCCTATAATAGCTACTATACTTTTAAGGAAGCGGAAGAGCTATATATAGGGCCTAATATAGCTTAAAGCTCCTAAGTTAAAGCCTAAGTTAGCGAGGTTATCCTATATAGCTAGGTTATAAGCTTACTTTATAAGGTAACTAAGTAAGAAGTATAAGGTCTAAAGGGCGTAAGAGAGGTATACCCTTTTAAATCGTACCTTTAGTAGTAGTAGGGCCGCTTTAGCTTCTAGGGCCTTAATAAGGGATCCTTTAAAAGCCCTTAGGACCCTTAAAAGAGCTTAGTTTTTATTATAAAGTAGGTAAAGGTATAGGCTTAGGTTCGGTCTATTAAAAGAAGGTTAATAATCTATAAAAAGGAAAAAAAAGAAGTATAAGCTTAGTTTATATAAGTATAAAGGCCGCTTATATATAGACTTAGCTTAGACCTTAGTTTAGGCCTATATAAGGTAAAAGCCTTTATATTATACCCTTACCTAGCTTTTAAAGAAGTATAACTTTAAATAATACTTAATACTACGCTTAAAAGGACGAAACCCTTATATAAACTATTATAATAGGTCGGCCCTATAAGGGCTAAAGCGGTAGTTATTATAAGAGTCTTTAACTATTATAGGTAATAGGCTTAGGCTATAGCCTAAGCTATATAGTTATATATAGAGGGCCGGATCCTATATATATAAGGGCGGGCTAGCTACGTATAAAAGAGCTTTATATAGCTTATTAATATTATCCTATAGACGGTACCTATATATACGCCTCTACTTACTTTATAATAGTATAAGCTATTAACTAATAGATCTAATAGATATCTCCCTAAAAAGGGTACCGCTTCCCTAAGGGAGTACCCCGCTACCCCTTAGGCGGATAAGAAGTATTATAGCTATCCTAGAAGCGATTAAAAGCGCGATAGCTAGCGAGAAGAATAAGGTTCTCGCTATACTAAGGGAGCCGTCTACGAGACTAGCGTTAACCCCTATAACCTTAGTAATACCGGTTACGGCGGCGGCACTACTAATATAGAAGCCGCTACCTTAGCCGACTTAAAATAGTAAGCTTAAGTCCTTCTACTTCTTCCTTAGCTAGCTATAGACGAAGTTTATAATAAACGAGAAATAGGGCTTAAACGGCTATTATAATATAGCGTAGTATTCGCTCCTCTATATACTACCGGAGCCCTAGATATAGCGGATCTCTAGATTCTAGGATAAGGGCGGCCTTAAAGGTAAACGCGACCTATAGGACTTCTTTTAATACCTTATATATACGTTCGGTAACGTATAGGAGCGGGAGAAGGCGTAGGATAGGCTATAGACCCTTAAGTAAAGGGATAGGTAGACCTTTAGCGAATTCCTCCTTAACTTTAAAGAGATACTCTTATAAGCGGCGGGAACTATAGTATAAGAAGATAGCGCGAAGCTTATATAGTTATAGAACTTAATTACGCTAGCCCTATAAAAGCTACTTATCCTTATAATTATACTTACTAACTATAGCGAGTATATAAGCTAGTTAATAAAGGTAGTATAAGGCTATAAGTAAACGCCGCGTTTCTAGAAGCTTTATAAGCGTACGCTATATAGCGGTAATAAGATTACTGCCCCTCTATAAAAAGAATAGCTAACTATTAATATTAATAGAGATACCTTAATATCGGCTACTTATATAGACTAAGCTAAACGTAGTAGGAAGTCGTTATTAAATATCCCTTATACTATCCTACTCTTTAAGTAGCGGGCGAAGTAAGTAACGAGCGAGGAAATTAAGAAAAAGAAAGCTAATAGCCGCTACTTACGTTATAGCGCGTCTATATACTTTATATTAAAACGCCCCTTCCTTTTAGCTAAGCGGCCTATAGTAGTTTAAGTAGCGAAGATAGAACCGCTCCTTACCTTAGACGATAAAGAGGACTCCGCTCCCTTAGGCCTAGAGGAAAAAGAGTAGCTCTAGAGTAAAGATAGGCTCTAGAGCCTTAATTACTAATACTAGTAAAGGAAAAGGAGGAATTATCCGCCTATATTAAAAAGGAGCCTACTTTAATATAGGTTATAGTTAATAACTCCTTACCTATCGCCGCCCTTATAAATAAGGGCTATTAGTACTATACTATAGTTAATAAGGCGCTTATACGAGAGATATAAGTACTAGTAGAAAAGATTGCCTTAAGGCGAGTAAAGGGCGCCTTAGGCGCGATAGAGGGTATAGTAATTAAAGGTATTATATAGCTAGCTATAGAGGTTAATAGTTACTATAAGCTTATCGTAGCCTATATAATCCTTTAACTAAAGTTTCCCTTAATCCTTAGGAAACCCTAGTTATTATATATAGAGTTATACTTAGTTTTATACTAAAAGAAGCTATAGTTTAGGCCTATATAATAGTAGGTATACTACGACGACGGTTCTATAAGTATAAGACTAAGCGTGCGAGCTTTATACTTAGTATAAGAAGTCCTTACCTCTATCTTTATAGGAACTATATAATAGTTAGAGCGGGAGGAAGGCTAGGTAGCGGCTAACGTAGCGGTTTATATAGTTAGCTTAGCGGATATTAATAAGGCCCTTTAAGTAAAGAAGCTAAAGTCGCCCTTTAAGCTATAGTAGTAGATACTAGAGCGCTTTTACGACCTCCTACTACTATTTAAGTCCTAGGAAGTAAACAAGCTTAACTTATATAAGCTAAGGGTAGACTATAAGATTATACTTTATACTAATAAGAAGGGGTAGGAACTACCTATACTATTTAAACCGCTATATAGTATATTATACGCGGAGCTATTAGTACTAAAGAAGACGCTAAGGGACCTTTTAAATAAGGGTTTTATTTAAGTAAGTAGCTTTAAAGTAAAAGCGCTGGTCTTATTTATATATAAACTAAGGGGCGGGATATAGTTTTATTATAACTATAGGGCTTTAAATATAATTATAAGGCTAGACCGCTACCCCTTACCCTTAATCTTAGATATGCTTTATAACCTTTTAAAGGTAAAGTAGTTTATAAAGCTAGATATAAAATAAGTATTTTATAAGGTATAGATCTTAGAGGGTAACGAGTAAAAGACAGCGTTCTATATATACTATAGCTTATTTAAGTAGCTTATAACGTCCTTTAGCCTTTTAAGAGCGCCCGCTACCTTTTAGTATTATATTAATAATATACTTTAAGACTTCCTTAATAAGTTCGCTTCTATATATATAAATAATATCCTTATCTATATAAGTAGCTCTTATAAAGACTATATATAAAAAGTATAAAGGGTCTTAGAGCGCCTTTAACTTTATAAGCTCTACCTCGACTTAAATAAGTACGAATTTAGAGTTAAGAAGGTTAAGTACCTAGGCTTTATTATTTATATAGGCGTAGGTATATAAGTAGATCCTATAAAGATCTAGGCGATTTAGGACTAAGCTACCTTAACTATATAAATAAGCATATAAAGCTTCCTTAGGTTCGTGAACTATTATAAGATATTTATTAAAGGCTTCTCTTATATTATAATACCCTTAAATAAGATTACTAAAAAGTAGACCGCTTTTTACTAAGGGCTTATATAGGAAGGAGCGTTCTATACGCTTAAGGACTTATTTTCTTAAGCCCTAGTACTACTTTAATA